CTACACACCTAGGGGGAAAAACCTCAAACACACAAGATGGAGGATACTTGGCTCTGTAATGTGATGAGCGAGAAGGATCTTGGAATTGTTGTCTATCAGAAACTGAATACGAACCAACAGTGGGATGTCACTGCAAAAAAGGCAACTGCTATTCTAGGCTGTATTAATAGAACTGTAGTCCCCAAAACCCATGAAGTGCTCGTTTCCCTCTATTCAGAACTGGTTAGATCTTGAGTGCCTGTGTCCATTTCTGAAAAGCACTATTCAAGAAGGATGCCAAAAAGTGGAACAAGTTCAGAGGAAGGCAACAAGGATGATCAGGGAACTGGAAACCAAGCCCTATGAGAAAAGACTGAAAGAACTGTGCATGTTTAGCCCTGATAAAAGTGGACTGGGGGAAGTTTAATTGCACTTTTCAGATACTTGTATGATCATCATACAGAGAGGAGGCACTTTCCATCATCCCAGAGTGCACAACATATAATAATGGTCTCAACAGGAAGTCACATTTAGGTTGAATATTAGCAAAAGCTTTCTAACTGTTAAAGCAGCACAACAATGGAATCAATTGCTGAAAACTAAAAACTACAATGCAAAGAGCTGTTTTTATTTGTTGGTTTTTAAGGTGATTCTAATTATTTTGTCAATTTGGACCTGGAAGTTCTTCTATCCAGGTAAACTTCACATGTGCCAAATTATAAATGAATACTCAAAAAGATTTCCAACATAGCTATTGATATTACAAGAGCTGAAAACAGCAGAATGAACATGAGAAATAACTCTACATTAAAGAAGGATAGCTTGAATGAGATATCTAATTTCAATATGCAACTTGATGGGCAGATCAAAGCGCATGGTTTCTTTGCAATATTTAATAACTACACTGATGCCCTTAAAACTCTTTACTTCCCACATGGCTCATCAGAAGTAGTTTATTACTATTTCCATGTTCTTTGCTTAGTAACCTGGTTTTCTTGTAATGAGTAACCTGGCTTAACTCAGAAGTAGTTTATTACTATTTCCATGTTCTTTGTTTAGTAACCTGGCTTTCCTTCATGGCACTTTATCCCATCTTCGTATGTGGGACAACAATGTTTGACTTCAGGATACTGTATATGAATATTTGGGGCAGTGGTTGATCTACTATGAAACTACTGACGCTTAAGCTTCTGGGTCTCTAATCTTGGAAGGGTCTCAGAAGTGACTTTAGGCTACATTGGTTTAAAAAAATTGGGCCTACTCTATGAGAAGGGTTATTTAAAATATATATATTATTTATATACTGTAGTCTGATTCAATACACAATGTTATAGTGTAATTCAATAAGGAAGTTTCAACAAAACAAGTAGGAAACTTCAAATCTCTAGTTTTTGATGTATTAGAAGCTTCTGTCCAGTTGTTATAGTCCCCAGACCAATCATACAGCAAAAATAACCCTTTACAAATTTCCAGAATTTCAAATACTTCATAAAAACATTTAGCATTAAAAGACAATTTAAAATCTAGTATCTAATTACCATAGAACTTCCAAGACCTGAGTATCGCCATACAGAATCCGGCTACCTGGTACGTGATCTTGGGGTCTATGTCAGAAAGAAAAAGCTGTAGTCTGTTTTTTTTCTGAATGGCCAGGATTTTCTTTTCAGCAGTGGGGTGATGATCTCCTTATGTGCCACATCATAATGTGGGCAAGTGAAAAACATGTGCTGTGTAGTTTTGACCTCCTGTTGCAAAGCCTTTGAATGAAAGGAATATTCTTGTACTTCCCATCAAGTACAGCAAAAGGGAGGACTGAGCATCTTGCCAAGGTGAAGGCTCTTCTAAACTTTTGCTTCAGGTGATGTTAGATCTTGCCAAGGTGAAGGCTCTTCTAAACCGTTTTGCTCCCCGTGATGTTAAATAATCTGCCAGTTCCGCACAGATTTTGAGATAAGTCCTCATCATAATATTTTGCATACTGGAAAGGTCTATTAGAAAGTTATCTTCTGCTATCGTCTGTATGTTCATTTGTTGAAGAACTCAGAGAAAATTAAGCCGAAAGTATTTCACACCACGAGTTAGAAGCAAAAGGTTTGTAAGAAGATATCAACCCAAGTTATTTTGCTGCTTCCAAACACATTATTACAAAAAAAAATTCATATGGAACAAGTGGTATTACTTCTTTGACAGGAGCTAACAAATTCAGGACAGACGTTTTATATAAATTCTTTGACTGTTTGATAATCCAGTTACACAAGAGTGTTGACCCATATGAGCAGACTGCAAAAAGGTTCAAGTTCCTCTCAGAATTGGTGAACAATTCTGAAATTCATGAGGACAGTATTAAACTTATAATGTCGTATTACAAAGATGATATTGACCACAAATTAGAAATCAAGAGTCATCATTTCAAAGAATATTTGCACCTTAGGAAATCCCAGAACACAGAAGAAAACATGCCATCTAAACTGCAATGCATAGTTTCTCAGTTTTGTTGTTGTTGTTTAGTCGTTAAGTTATGTCCGACTCTTCGTGACCCCATGGACCAGAGCACGCCAGGCCCTCCTATCTTCTACTGCCTCCCGGAGTTGTGTCAAATTCATGTTGGTTGCTTCGCAGACACTGTCCAGCCATCTCATCCTCGGTTGTCCCCTTCTCCTCTTGCCTTCACACTTTCCCAACATCAGGGTCTTTTCCAGGGAGTTTTCTCTTTTCATGAGATGGCCAAAGTACTGGAGTCTCAGCTTCAGGATCTGTCCTTCCAGCGAGCACTCAGATTTGATTTCCTTTAGAATTGATAGGTTTGTTCTCCTTGCAGTCCAGGGGACTCTCAAGAGCTTAATAGTCCCTCAGCTTAACTGCGAGCAATACCTAACTGAACTATACTCCATTACTGCTGCTCAAGCTGTACTTGGCAAGGCCTATCATGAGCTGTGACGCAGAAAAAAGTTTTCAAAGCTATTCTTTACAAAGAACAATTTCATTCTACCATGACTGAAGAGCATTCTTTATGCATATTGTCTCTAGAAAATGACATTGCAAGGTAGCATTTATATGACAAAACTGCACGTGAATGTGTTGCTAGAAAAACAACAACAGAAAAAGTATTTTGTAAAATGTGCTTCATGTATTCTCAGAGGTATCTAAAATAAAAGATTATATTGGCTGTGGTCTTTTTTATGTTTTATGTCATCATTCTATGATGCATCATGCATGTATATAACATTTCCCTAATTTTTATCCATCCATAACTCAAAAACTATAAGGCATAGGAAATTTTTATTCACATCAGTGACTTTGACATATGAGATAATCCAGTACAGCAATGTTATTCAAAATGAGAGTTGTAGTGGGTTTTTTTGTTTGTTTAAATGTGATGATCTGTCACGGAGCAACCTAACTGAAGAAGATAACGGTGGTTATATCTGGATATGGGGGCCTCTTTGCAACCAGCAATGAGATCTGTCTCATTGTGGTCGCAATGAAGCCCCCATAACAGTTCCAACTTTAAGGTCCCAAAACTGTAGGTCTGCCACTGTATTTCAGACTGGAAATGTTTCTAATCAGGGGAACATTCATATCTAGCAAATTATAAAGCAACATTGGCTTCTGACTCTGGCAGGCAGTAGGATGCCTCTCGCTGATGGCTGGATTATAATAAAATGCTCAAAGCTTCTCCTCCCAGGACAGCCCTGCCATCTTCCTGCTACTGAACTTCAGACTACCACTGCCTGCTCCAGACTAAAAGCCAGAATACAGTGGTGCCTCGCTTGACGATTACCTCGTTAGATGAGGAAATCACTTGACGATTAGTTTTTTACAATCACTATTGCGATCGCTAAACGATGTTTAGATAGGGAAAATTCGCTTAACATTGATCGGTTCCCTGCTTCGGGAACCGATTTTTCGCTTAACGACTATCAAAAACAGCTGATCGTCGGGTTTCAAAATGGCCGCCCACTGTGCAAAATGGCTCCCCGCTGTGCTTTAGGACGGATTCCTCACTTCACAGGCACCAGAAAATGGCCGCCCTATGGAGGATCTTTGCTGGACGATGAGGTATTTCACCCATTAGAACGCATTAACCGGTTTCTAATGCATTCTAATGGGTTTTTTAATTTCGCTTGACGAGGATTTCGCTTAACAGCGATTTGAACGGAATGAATTATCCTTGTCAAGCGAGGCACCACCGTATATGCATTCTACATCTAGATTCAGCAAGTCTGGCATATGACCCCAATTGAGGGCTGAAATCTGGGAAACTGTCTTGCTGAAATCTTCAGAAATAGATTCAAGGGAACAGGATTTGTTGGCGAGTCAGTTGGCCTTTGAAAGCCTGAATCACAAATGGAAACTGTGATGAGGAAAATTCCCAAAATACTACCATACAGAGATAGCTGCATGGCTGAAGCAAATGTATGTAAAGCTACTCTACTTTCAGTTCACAGAAATATCTCATATTGCACAAGCATTTGTTTCAAGCACGTGGCCTGTGCTACAGAACTGCCTACATATAATTACTGTGTTTAATTTGTGATCACAACAATGCAGTTCATATGTATGCATGAGGCCATTTTCAGATTGATTCTGAAGCAAATACTAGTAACCAGAAACATCACAAGTATCCAAAACACAATTACCTAGAAGAGAATCCTACTAATTTCAACAGAACTTACTTCAAGTAAACATATTGATGATCAAAGGAGCCAGGTTATAATTCTTGAAACAGACTAGTCTTGCTGAAGGACTGCATGAGCATCAGTGGAGCCAACAGAATCGGAGTTCAAATCCCCATTACGTGTTTGACCTCTGGCCCTGAACATGGTTTCTGAGGCTAAGTGCTAGTGAGATCTGGAACAACTATTTTATTTATTTATTTATTTGATTTGATTTGATTTGATTTGATTTATATCCCGCCCATCTGGTATATTCTACCACTAAGAGTTTACCAGAGACAACCAGGTGTCTGAATGGCACATCTTACGAGATATCCGCACTGCCAAAATCATAGCTACTCTTACCTGCTGCCTGCTGTAGACGTCATATTGGCCAGGTGGCACAGGGACGCAAGCAGCAGAAAATATCCTTTTGCTTCCTGACTTTGAACTGTACAGATGTGTCACTTCCGGGTCAGCTCCCAAAATGGGCACATCTAAGATATCAGCCACTTCAAGATCATCTTGATTCAGAAATCCTCCAACAATGTAGGTATCCGTGCCCTGAATTAGGTTTTTGATCCTTTTGATGGTCCTGGGGCTGTACTTCAAGAAGGTAGCCAAGGACATGGGCCGATTCTGTACAAAGATCATATTAGCTTTGTTAAGAGGTGTTCTTTCTCTTTCCTCAATGAAGTTAATTTATAATGTTGAGTGTAATAAATACATTATTAATAGCAGGCTGGGTTATGACCTATCCTGTAGTATAGCAGTTTAAATTGATAAAAGCTGTTGGGATGAGGCTCTATAATCACTCACATCTTTAGTGTGCTGGAAATAGGCTCGCTGGGAATACAACTAATTACTACACATCTGTATTTATTTGATCCACACGGAACTCTCCTTCTGTCACTTGGAAGAGAGGCTTGCGGCCTTTGGATAATGGTGATTCATCTCCACACTTCTGACACAGTTTGATTCTACCATGTCGGGGGGTGGGGAAATCAATATTAAAAAAATGAATAATCTCCGCATTCATAGCTGGGGTAATATTTCATGCCACAGGAAGCAGCATCTTAATTGATGCTTTCAAAAAGAAATACTTTTATTTACAAAACAGCTTTTGTAGTGCATACACAGTTCCATAAAATAAATATTTTTGTTAGACACAAGTCTGTTTATTTTGGGACACTGCCAGGAAAAAAAAGGCTGTTTCCTGTATTACATATTTAAGCATGGACCTGAAAAATGGAAGTGTGAATGTGACAAGCATATTCTTGCAAACTTGTGTTTTTATCCTGGCCACATTGATCGCGGGACTGTGATTGACTGTCACCTCCACTTAAAGAACCAGTGGCAAATCCACATTGCTTCTGCATAATATATGAAATGGCTCCATTTTTGTACAAAAGGGTGTGCAGAATAGGGAAGGAACGGGAAAAATGGGATATTTAGAAATGGAAAGGCAAAAAGGATGGCTAAGCAGAGGGATCTGGCAAAAGAAAGCCCGAAAAACCAAGACTGCATTAATTTTTACACACATATAAATCTTACTACATAAAGCAAGAACCTCTGGGAACACTGTGTTAAATATCTCTCAGTATGAATGGAAGAGTATTGATTTTTATAAATAATTTTTATTAAAGGCTGCAAAATTTTGCATAATGGATTAAAACACACAATAGAAATAAATAAATTAATTAATAAAATAATGACTGGAATTTATCCATCAGGAAATGCTTGCCTGAACTTAAAAGTTTTCAACCAAGACTGAAATCAGAAAAGTGCAGACACATGCCAACTCAACTGGGCTGGCATTCTACAGGCTAAGTACTGAACAGTAATAGCTTTACTTCCAGCGATCATCAAGCACATCCCAGACCCAGTTGGAATTACCAGAAGCATATCATCAGAGGACCCCAGGGATCAGGTAGGATGACAGAGAAAAAGGTGTCTGCTCAAGCTTCTTATCCTAAATTGCTACAGTTTTGTACACTAAACCATGAGCATGGCTCAGAAGCCAATGGTCAACAACTTTATTGTACTATAGGTAAAAGTAAAATAGAAATAAAAAGTAAAAAAAGAGAAAAACATGGTGGCACCTTAAAGACTAACTTTTATATTTTTTTAATGTGAGTTTTTGTGGACAACTCCACAAAAGTCATAAGATGGCCAGTATTTGTCTGATATACTTGCACAGACTAACATGGCTACCTCTTCTAAAACTACAACACTTGGAAGGTGTTGAGCTCTTCAGTGCTGGAGAGATTTAAGAGAAAACAGGACAACCATCTGTCAGATCTGTTTTGATTTTAATGTGAGCTTTTGTGGACAACTCCACAAAAGACATAAGATGGCCAGTATTTGTCTGATATACTTACACAGACTAACATGGCTACCTCTTCTAAAACTACAACACTTGGAAGGTGTTGAGCTCTTCAGTGCTGGAGAGATTTAAGAGAAAACAGGACAACCATCTGTCAGATCTGTTTTGATTTGGATTCCTGCATTGAGCAGGGGGTTGGACTTGATGGCCTTATAGGACCCTTCCAATTCAATTATTATATTCGTCTATGTAAAATTTTGAAACTAACCCTGCAGAATCTCTGGACTAGTGTTTCCAACATCCAACATGCAGCTGATCCATATGGTTAATATCAAAATATGATAATAAAATCAATTAAATTAACAGACTTTCAAACCTCCCTGGCCTGCGCTCACTAAAGGTAATTCATCAAAGTGAACAGGTTGATTCAGTCTCATTACAGGCCAGTAATCAAACTGAAATGGGCCTGGATCATTAATATCCTTCAGAAGTACTTTAAATTGTCCTGGTACCTTAGCTAGAAACCCTACTCAACTCAAAGAGATATATTTGGAAAAGCTTAACATCACTGTGTGCTAGAAATTCTGAGTGCGATTGAAAAAGCTATTTTTAATATTTTCAAGGGCTTGGACATGTCTGGCAGGCTTTTGATTTTTTTCTTTGAATATCAGCCCTGCTTTGTTATATCACCAACTTCTTCTGAAAGTCCTACAGGCTTCCAAAATTGTTTGCCACATGGCGCTGCGGGTTAAACCACAGAAGCCTCTGTGCTGTAAAGTCAGAAGACCAGCAGTTGTAAGATCGAATCCATGCAATGGAGTGAGCTCCCGTCGCTTTGTCCCAGCTCCCGCCAACCTAGCAGTTCAAAAGCATGCAAATGCGAGTAGATAAATAGGTACCACCACAGTGGGAAGGTAACGGTGTTCCGTGTCTAGTTGCGCTGGCCACGTGATCACGGAAGATTGTCTTCGGACAAACATTAGCTCTATGGGTTGGAAATGGAGATGAGCACCACCCCCTAGAGTTGGAGACGATTGGACAAATTGTCAAGGGGAACCTTTACCTTTTTTATGAGAGGCTGCTTGCTGAAGAAAATGAGGCCCAAAGCACACTTCGCTGCACATAAGTAATCATGAGGTTTTGGTCTATATGTTTTTACAGATCACTTGGAAACTTCAGTGGGTGCAGAACATGATTGCTCAAGTGTTTACTGGGACTAAATGACTGTAGTACATAACACTAGTTGGTCCATTTCTTAATTTGAAGTGCAAGTTGAAGTGCAAGTTTAAATGGTTTGTTATTTGAAGGTCTACTTAAACCCCTATGAACACACCAATGCAGAAAAATAATAACTGGAGGCCCTACTTGTTGGCCTGCTTTTGAGATCTGTATGCTTGGCAAGCGTTAGAGATACAGTAGTGGCACTAGAGACAGCATTCACAGTGCCCTATGGTATTCTATCCCAAGAGATTTATAACAGAAATAAGGACCCAATAATGATCTTGCAGTGAAAAGACTTATATTTGAAGAAAGCCTGGGCAGGAATAAATGAGCATCACCACAATTTCAGTTTTTTTTCAAAGTTCAGCTGACCTTTTGTGCAAATGTCCAGTGACCAAATGGTCATCCCAGCATATCCTGCCATGAAAGAAACTTACTGCATTGCAGCATCATCAAATAATTTTTTTTAACCAAGTGTGTAGAGGAGTGTGGGAGAGAAAGAATACTGGGTAGGGAAAAGGGGAGTTTTCTTCTGGGTTGTGTTCTAGCCAATTAAAACTGGCCAGATTGGTTCAAAGCAACTGACCTAACTAACACCCCTCAATTAAAACCATTAAATGATCCAAGAGGAAAAGGAGAGTCTTAAACTGGAATTGCCGCAATAAAAAACAGATGAGGAAGAATGAGGGTGGGAACAATTATCTGCACAACTTCAGTGAGGGAGAGTTTCAGCAGAAGCATTTTGAGTCTTTTCTTTTCCAACACATGGCAGATCTCTCAAGTTCAGAGTTCTAGACGGGGCCTGACACTGAGCAGGGAGCAGCAGAGAAGAGCTTAGCTCAGCTGAGCTGAGCATTCAGATTGCAAAACTCAACCACAGTGTTTATTTCCAACATTCTTAACTAGTAATTTTATCTGTAAACCTCTTAAAACTTGCAATAATATTTCACTGATGGGTACCAGAGCATTGGAAGTTATAAAATTTCCAATTTCATTTTATGGCATTCCCCCAAGCTTTAGTAATTGGAAGATACAAACTCACAGGGAAACTACTTAAGGCTTCAGGGGTGAGGATTTTGAACCTCCCCTGCAGGTCAGCAATGTCCTCGGGGTTCCCAGATCTAAGGGCTTGTTGCAGACCCAAGAGTTTGATGTAATACTGCAGCATCTCCTCACTCAGTTGAAAGGGGCAAATGTAGATGACATCCACATTAGAATCTTTAAACAAACAAACAAACAAAGAATCATTATTAACTATTGGTAGAAAGGCAACACTGTTTGTCAGGCTTACTTCTTATAACCATCCAGGAGAGGGTGAAACAAATGTCTTCAACATTGGAGATCCCTGACACTCAATCCAACCTCTGCTATGTTTCTGGAAACAAACAAGATGGAAGAAAGGTTCTTTTTAAATGTCATCTGGGATAACTAGTTCGAAAACATCATGATGTTGCAGAGATTTAGCCAGGGGAGTTGCATTAAGATGAATGAAAACTGCACTTGGTTTTGAAAATAGATATTACTAGGTAACCTAAGAAGCCCATATTTTAGCTCCGAGAAGGCTACAGAAATAGCCATTTTATGCACTGCCCAGATTTGGTTAGAACTGTATCTTAAAGATCTCCCATTCATGTTTTTTTGACAAAAGCCTAATTCAATCTGAATCTGCTGCAGTTCCTTGTGGAATGGTCTACTGCAGAGGTAGACCATTTTGTCCTTTTGGGTCAAATAGCCCACTCCATGCTGTTGACCCTTGGGATTCCAAAGACTCAAGGGATCACTCTCACACTCCTAATCTTCACTGCTTAGTGAAACATGGAAACACTGCCTTGTCAGGGGAGAGTCAAACACAAAGTGTTGATCCTTCCCTAATGATCCCTGATCTGTTTTCCCATTTGGAGAAATAACTAATTGGGGGGATGTGGTGACATGAGAATGTGGTTTTTGGATTTGTGAATGGCACGTAGTCTTAGCAATCACAGACTGCACCAGCACAGTTTGCAAACGCCACTCATCACATGCTACCCATTTCATGGTTTTGGAAACCATTAGTATTTGGATGGGAGACCACTAGGGAACGCTAAGGATTCTGGGTGAACTGACAACAATGGGTCGGAGGGACAAATTGTCTGAAGGAAGCATCTTATATTCCTATTCAAATAGTCTGATAGGTAGTTTGGTGATGGCTTTAGTAGTCATGATGCATGTCAACAACAGTGATGTGGTAACGAGCAATCATGTGGCCCCATAAGTCAAATTTTAGGTTGTTAGGCCAGGGTTCACCAGATAAATTGCTATGAAATACAGTCACCCTCCCTTCCCTTCTATCTATCCCTCACTCCTCCCCACTCCATTTTAAAAGGTATGTCGTTGGACATTTTTGAATAAAAATCAGAATTACAATTTTCAACACTACTGTTGCTGAGAAAAAGAAAGGTTACTTACCTGTAACCACGGTTCTTCGAGTGGACCTCTGTGAATTCACACATATGGGTTTAGTCTGCGCCTGTGCTGACAT